ACCCCCAGAGGGCCTAATAAGGCCTTATCTCCTGAGCACCGACATCAGGTTAGCCATAGTTTTCTGTTGGACCAGCTTGACACCTGTATTTCAGAAATAGAGAAGGAGCTGGGTAGCACATGCCTGTATTCTCAGTACTTGGGAAAGAGGCACGAGGATCGTGAGTTGGAAGCTAGCCTTGGCTACATGGCGAATGTCCAGGGAGAGAGAGAGCAAGAGTGAGCAAGCAAGCCAGAGGTTGGGGGGGAAAGTGGGAGGGGGGGGGAGGAAAGGAGGGAGTCTGGAAATAATTGATTATGGTAAGTAAGTGTGACTGTGTGACTGTCTAGAATATAAAAGGTCCTGAGTTCAATCTCCAGCACTGCTTCTACCCCCTCAAGAGTAAATGATGGAGGGGAGGCGGGGGGGGGGGGGGGGGTGGAGGGGGATGGGAAGGGATGGGAAGGGGAAACAAAGGAGGAGGCAACAATGCTTGATAAGAAATGTACTCATTATCTTGCCCATGTAATTGTAACCCCTCTGTACAGTATTTTCACAATAAAAAAAGAAAAAAAAAAGAGTAAATGAACATATGGCCCAGAAATCACCCTCTTAGACATACATTCCCCCAAATTGTAACATAGCTCTATATGAACACTTGTACACCAATACTCAAAGGAGCATTATTTAGGGAAAAATCTCAAGCACTGATCACCTGATGAATGGATAAATGAAATGTAGCATTGTGCACCATTAGAATATTACTTGGCAGTAAAAAAGAGGTAAAGCAGATGGATACATGTTGCTATGAGTGAACCTTGAAAACTTTATACAACGTGAAAGAAGCCAGATGAGAATTCTGTAAGTGGTCTGAGTCCATTGATAAGAAATATCCATGGGGCTGGGAAGGTGGCTCAGTGGTAGAGTGCTTGCCTTACATACATGAGGCTCTGAGTTCGATTCCTCAGTACCACATAAGCAGAAAAAGCTGAAAGTGGTGCTGTGGCTCAAGTGGTAGAGCACTAGCCTTGAGCTGAAGAGCTGAGGGACAGCACCCAGGCCCAGAGTTCAAGTCCCATGACTGACAAAAAATACCCAAAAGAGGCAAATCCAGAGACTTTTGACTAGCCATTTGTAGGAGATGGATGGGACATGAGGAATGATGAGAAATGACTGCTAATGGGTATGCCCATTAGTGGGAAGAAAATGTTTAGGACTCGATAGTAATGATGGTGAAACCTATGAATACACTAATAAAACACTGGGCTCAATTAAAAGGAATGAATTATTTAAAGGAGTGAATTATATAATGTGTACATTGTATCTCAGTAATGTTCTTTTGTGTGTGTGCCAGTCCTGGGGCTTGAACTCAGGGTCTGGGCACTGCCCCTAAACTGCTTTTGCTTAAGGCTAGCGCTCTACTACTTGAGCCACAGCACCACTTCTGCCTTTTGCTTTGTATGTGGGTACTGAGGAATGGAACCCAGGGCTTCATGCATGCAGGGCAAGCACTCTACCACTAAGCCACCTTCCCAGCCTGCTTTTATTATTTAAAGTAAACATACAAAGTAGTTTGATGCGGTCCACCATGGAGTCATTTTTAGTACGCCCATATAAATCACTGCTTCCTCTTATTTAACAAGCACAGACCAGCCTTTGTTACACAGGTGTGGGGCCAGACCAACTGATTGGTAACTCTGCCCACTTCCCCTAGAAACCTTGATTGTCACCTGGCTCTTGTCCAGACTTGGGGACCCTGTCTTTGGGGGGCTCATGGGAGACCTTCAGAGCTCACTCAGAGCCACATAGCCACTGCGTGTGGGCCTTTAGTCTCTGGCCAGTGGGGTGGCCTGGCCCCGGCACTGAGAGCAAAGACAACTTTGGGGAAGCAATGCCCAGTGGAAGAGGGTGGTGCATGCTGGGTACCGGAAAAGGACACACAGTGGGTGCCACTCGAGCACAGAGGAGGAAGAGGGTGGTACACCCCAAGATGTGGGGTGCAGGAAGCGATGGGGGAGAGCGGGCGGGGGGGGGCATGCGTGAGTGGAGGTTGGGGGGCTGGGGGGTGGCATGGATCAGCTTCTGTTCATGAAGCAGTCAGAATTCTCAGACCTCCTATCCGGGCTGTCTTAAATGCCACGGCCCACAGCCTTGGATTGCCAGTTGTCCACAGGCTGGCTGCATTTTTTGGTGGGTGGCAGTGGTTCTCAACAGTGGCAGGGCTTGTTACTGCATGGGGGTGGGCAGATGGATGGTGAACAAGGCTCACTGGCTGATTTAATAGATACGCATCACAAAATGTGCCGTCATAAGGGTTGAAGTGTCCTGGGTCCCAGCAGGAAGCACGTTGGCAGTGCTGCTCTGTAACACTGGCATCCATCTCCCAAGCCTTCCCCTGTCCCAGACTGAACCAGGCAAGGCTGGCTTGGGCCCTCCTGCCTTCCTTCCCTCTGCGTTTGACTATTCCAGGCCCCTCTCGTGTGTGCCTTGGGTGACCAGCTTACTTCCCCTAGCATGAGGGACAGCCCTTGAAGGTCAACTGTGTTGTAGCAGGTGTTGCTTTCCTTCCTTTTTATGGCTGAAGAAAATTCCTTTGCATAAATTATCATGCTCCATTTGAATGCACTGGTCTCGCTTATCCTGCGGCTGTGCATCGACGCACAGCCTTCTTTAGGCTGTAGAGTCCTGATTCCTCTCTCACCACTCCCCTCAGATTCTTGGGATGGAAACCAGGGCCTTGTGGATGCATTCGAGGCGAAACAAAACAAAAACAAATACATACACAATGGAATTCTATGCGTCCTTCAGAAAGAATGACATCGCCCCATTTGTTAGGAAATGGAAAGACTTGGAAAAAATTTTATTAAGTGAAGTAAGCCAGGCCCAAAGAAACATAGGTCCCATGGTTTCCCTTAACTTGCAATATCTAGTATATGTCTGAGTCAAGCAGAAAAGGTCAGATAAGTTGATGTTAAGCGAAATGAACCCCAAGATAGGGACACAAGTGGTTTTTTTCTTCCTTGCTATTGTTCCTAACATATTTATAAGGTACCATGTGAATTTTTTTGTTGCTTTATATGTCCCTCCCCCACGGTATAACCCCTGTTTTCACTGTATTTGATGTTGGTATAATTTGGGGAGGGGAAGGGAAAAAACAAAATGTTTAAATAGGGATACAGGTGGACCCACTGCAACAATGAGATGTACAAGATGCTATGAACTTTACAATTTAGGTGGGGGTGGGGAGTGTAGTTGAGGAGGTGGGAGAGAAGGGATGGTAGGGGAAGAACAAAGGAGGAGGTAACAATGCTGGATAAGAAATGTACTCATTACCTTGCTCGTGTAACTGTAACCCCTCTGTACAGTATTTTCACAATAAAAAACTTATTAAAAAAAAAAAAAAACATGGGCTTGGAAGGTGGCTCAGTGGTAGAGTGCTAGCCTTGCATGCCAGAGGCCCTGGGTTCGATTCCTCAGAACCACATAAGCAGAAAAAAAAAAAGCCGGAAGTGGCGCTGGGGCTCAAGTGGTAGAATGCTAGCCTTGAGCTGAAGAGCTGAGGGACAGCGCCCAGGCCGAGTTCAAGCCCACGACCGGACCCAAAAAAAAAAAAAAACCAAAACACAAAAACCCTACCATTAAGCCAGATGCTGGTGGCTTCCACCTGTAAGCTACTCAGGAGACTGAAATCTGAAGATCAGGGTTCTAAGCTAGCCTGGGCAGAAAAATCTGAAACTCTTATCACCAATTAACCACCAAAAAGCTCAAGTGATGCAGTGTCATCCTCGAGTGGAAAAGCTAAGAAAGAGCTCAAGGCCCCAAGTCCAAGTCCCAGTACTGGTCCAGAAACACACAGACACACACAGACAGACAGACACACACACACACACATACACACACACCCATCATTGAACTATACTTCCAGCCCAATTTATTTAATTAAATATTTGATTAGCATGCTGTAGTTTCACAAGGAGGGGGAGATTCACTTTGACAGACGTGTACAGTATATCCCCCTATAGCGCTTTGTGTTTCCCCTTTCTCATAGCCCTTGTCCACCCAATGCCCTCCCACAGTAACTACCCCAGCAGGGCCTGTTTTACTTTCTTGTCATTCATTGTTGTTGTTGTTTTAGTATGCATTGCACCAAGGAATCTCACCATGGTATTTCATTCATGCATACGTTAACATTTTGTTCACAACAACCCTCTTTTGCTTTCTGTTTGTCCTTCGAATCCCTATTGATCTATAGCTTTAAGATTCCCCAGATCATCTTCACACATAGTTTTTCTGTATTTTAAAATTATTCAGTATCAGCCAGGTGCTGGGGGCTCACGCCTATAATCCTAGCTATGTAGGAGGCTGGGATCTGAGGTTTGAGGTTACCCTGGGCAGGAAAGTTTGTGAGATTCTTATCTCCAATGAACCACCAACAAGCCAGAAGTGGAGCTGTGGCTCAAATTCTAGCCTTGAGGAAAATATGCTCAAGGACAGTTCCCAGGCCCTGAGTTCAAGACCTAGTACCTGTGCATGTGCATGCACACATGCAAAATACAAATGTGACTTTTCTCTTTTTTCCTTTCTTTCTTTCTTTTCTTTTTTGTTAGTCATGGAGCTTGAACTCAAGGCCTGGACACTGTCAAGACTAGTGCACCACTTTGAGCCACACACCACTTCTACAAATGTAACCTTTCTTTCTTTCTTTCTTTCTTTCTTGTCAGTCATGGGGATTGAACTCTGAGCCTGGGCACTCTCCTTCAACTCTTCAGCTCAAGGCTAGTGTTCTACCACTTGAGCCACAGCGCCACTTCCTGTTTTCTGAGTGATTTATTGGAGATAAGAGTCTCACATACTTTCCTGCCCAGGCTGGCTTTAAACCTCGATGTTCAGATCTCAGCCTCCTGAGTAGCCAGGATTACAGGCCTGAGCCACCAGTACCCCGCCCAAATGTGACTTTTCAATATACACTTGGGAGACTAGAAAATGTGTTTGGCCTAACATTTCTTCCTTTTCACCTGCAGGTATGACGCTGGACGGGATGGTTTCATCGACCTGATGGAGTTGAAGCTGATGATGGAGAAGCTGGGGGCCCCGCAGACTCACCTGGGCCTGAAGAGCATGATCAAGGAGGTGGATGAGGACTTTGATGGCAAGCTCAGCTTCCGGGAGGTACCAATGCCCTGTGGGTCCAGCGCCCCCAGAGGGAGTGGCGGTGGGAGGAACTGCAGTTTACCAATGGGTTGGCCTCCTGAGAGTGCTGTTTGGACATTCAAACTACATTTCTCTTTTAAAAATACCTTTAACTCAGGAGGCTGAGATCTGAGGATCGAGGCTCAAACCCAGCCAGGGCAGGAAAGTCTATGGGACTCTTACGTCCAATTAACCACCAGAAAACCGGAAGTGGAGCTGTGGCTCAAAGTGGTAGAGCGCTAGCCTTGAGCTGAAGAGCTCAGGAACAGTGTCCAGGCCAAGTTCAAGCCCCACAACCAACCAAAAAAAAAAAACACAGAAAAACAAAAAAACTTTAAGGGTTCCCATCTGTAATTCTAGTTACTTGGGAGGTGGAGATCAGAAAGATCTGTTAAGTGTCAGCATGGGCAAAAAATACATGACTTCTTCTCAATCAATTAAAAAAACCAGGCATGATGGCTTCTGCCTGTCATCCTACTTGCTTGGGAATTATAACTAGGAGGATCAAGGTCCAGGCTGACCAGAACATAAATGGGAGACCTTACCTGAAAGATAACTAAACCAAATAGGGTTTGGGGCATGGCTTCAGTGGTAGAGTGTCTGCCTAGCAAGCACAAAACCTGGAGTGCTAGACTGGGAAAATGCCCAGCTAACAGACTGAAGACCTGCATGAGTAACTGAACTGCATTTGGGCAAAAGAGTAAGAAATGTAGTCATGTGCTGGTGGCCCACGTCTGTAATCCTAGCTACGTGTGGGGAGGGGGTCTTTGGTTGAACTGACCAAGGTGAGCCCTCTCTTCCCGCTGTGACTAACTGGGCTCATCACACACAACTCCAGAAATTGCCGTCTTATCCTGGCCTAGGCCGTGGAGCAGGTACACGTGCTAACGTGATCTGTATTAGATCTTCCTCCCATTTCCTGACACTCTGCCAGCTCCTAGTCCTCTTGAAATAGCGGAAGTGTCTTTGCATGCGAAAGAGAAGACTCATGACTGGCCACCACTAGTGGTCACAAGAAGGATCTCTGGGGCTGAAGGTTAAATCCATCACCAGGGACCAATGACTGAATTAACTATGTCTATATAATGACATCTCCATAAAACCAGAAAAAACTGGTTTCTTTATTTTACGGGAGTGGGGAGGTGGGGGGTGTCTAGATTACTAAGCACAGGGAGGTTCCTGGAGGGAAGCCCAGTGTATACATCTCTTCATCAGTAAATGTAATCTGATCCTCTTCTGAATGAGATTCCATGACACCCCACTAGGATTCACCACCCACTCATCCACTGCACAAACAGCCACTTGTTTGGGGACCCCACACTCTGGGATCCTAAGTATGGTATGAGAGCGCTTCTCCTTTCTCGTTACTGTAATCATGGGAAAGCTGTGTGGCATAACCCTTGGGTGATGGTGTCCAGCTTTTGCATTCACAGCTAAGGACCTAGGGGGCCAAAATGGTGAGGATCGTCCAGCGCAGGGCTGCGTGCGGGCTGCCGCCTGCCCTGCCATCACAGCAGGCCTCTCCTGCCTCCTGCTGACCCGCTCCTGCTTTCTGTGTGGGATATGCCTGGGTTGGCCTGGGGTCTGGGACGTTGGGGGGTTTTGCCTCAGGGAAGGGAGCTTCAACTTTGGTCCCCACCTTTGTGACTTCTGGAACAGCACAGGAGATGGGTTTTGGGGGTATTTAGACCTAATGCCCACAATGTGCTTGCCATTTTCTGGTCAGCTTCAAGTGTGGCCATTCCCTGCTGATGGTAGACATCCACATCTGGCAGATCTCCAAAGATGGGTAGTTTTTTGTTTTATTTTTGAGTTTGTATGTGGTGGTTGTTGTTTTGGTGGTACTGGGGCTCAAACTCAGGGCCTGAGTGCTGTCACTTAGCTTTTTTGCCTAAGGCTAGTGCTACACTTCTGGCTTTGGTAGTTAATAGGAGATACAGAGTATTCATGGACTTTTCTGCCTGGGTTTTGAACTGAAATCCTCACGTTAGCCTCCTGAGTAGCTAGGATTACAGGCCTGGATCTACCCTTCAGATCTTTAGACATCTTTTTGTTTCATGAATATCTCCTGTTCGCTTAAGCCAACTGGTTTATTCTGGTCATCAGCAACCTATGAGATCTAATAAGGGGAACGTGTTTCTTCACCAGCCAGAACCAGGGAGTCAACAATCTCTTAAATCTATCAGCATCCATGGCTGGTGGCTGAAGAAGCTTTTGAGCTTTCTCTCTCGGTCTCTTTCTCTTTCTGTCTCTTTGCTCCCCTCCCCTCCTTCTCTTCCCTGCCCTGCCCTGTCCTTATAGTCTCAGCCAGGACCTTTTTCCACGTCTTCTACCACATTCCTGTCTTTGTGAACTATAAATAGCAAGACAAGCAAGGCAGTCTGAGAAATTGTCCTTCAGGGCACTGAGTGACTGTAATGAAATGGAAATGCCAAACATGTCCAGCTTGAGTTGGATTTTCCTTTTTTTTTTTTTCCTTCTTTGACTGGATTGGGGGACCCTTGATTTATGATGGAGTTGCTCGTGGTAATGTGCTGGGGTGGCAGCATGGGTACAAATACCTGGATGGAGCCTGGGACCTAACAGCCCAGAAGCCATACCTCTGGGAAAGAAAAAAACAACAAACCTGTGAGGACCTCATTAATGTTTCCAGTTCACTAAACTCTTCTGTGAACACAAACACTTTCAGCCCTGCTATAGCTGTGAAGAACTAAGTGTCAGGGATGGGGTGAGCCCTCAGCACTGCTTGGGGCTAAGTTAGAGAGGTGCTCCCTCCTTCCTGAGCCACTTCCCAGGCCATGAGAACACTGGCATGGAGGGCCACCTCCTCCAGGGCACCGAGGTGGGGGCACTCTGGAAATGAAATGCTTAGGACAGGTGGGTGTGTAGTCTGCTTTCTATTGCTCTAACAGAATACCTGAGACTGGATTGTGTAGAAAGAAAAGAGGTTTCTTTTAGGTTGTGGTTCTGGAAGTCCAAGAGAATGGTGCTGCTGGTGTGTGCTCAGCTATCTGGTGAGGGCCTGGTGCTGCTTCAGCTCATGGCCGGAGGTGCCAAGGCGCGCCGGATGTTAGTGGATGAGGGGAAGCAGTGGAGGGGCGAGGAAGCAGAACTCACCTGACAATACCCCGCCTCCTGAGAAAGGGCGAGGCCCACTTAATGACCTGCTTGCTTGCATGAGTGCTTCCCTGCTTCTCTCCCTCCCTCCCTCCCTCCCACCTACCTACCCACCCTTCCTTCCTTCCTTCCTTCCTTCCTTCCTTCCTTCCTTCCTTCCTTCCTTCCTTCCTCCCTTCCTCCCTCCCTCCCTCCCTCCCTCCCTTCCTTCTTCTCTCTCTCCCTCTCTCCCTTCCTTCCTCCCTCTCTCCCTCCCTCCCTCCCTCCCTCCCTTCCTTCCTTCCTTCCTTCCTTCCTTCCTTCCTTCCTTCCTTCCTTCCTTCCTTCCTTCCTTCCACTTGTGCTTTATCTTTTGAGCCACACCTCCACTTCCCACTTTCTGCTGGTTAATTGAAAATGAGTCTCAGGTGTGTTTCTGTCTGGGCTGGCTTCAAACCACGATCCTCAGATCTTATGGCCTCCTGAGCAGCTAGGATTATAGGCATGAGCCACCAGCATGTGTTGGTGACCTGATTGCTTCTTAAACATCCCCCATCACTGGACACCATTCTGTTGTAGATCACGCTTCCCTATCAGGCTCAGTGGAGATACACCGTATTGGCATTAGAGCAGCGAGCAGGGTGCCGAGGGACAGGCATTCCTTCCCTTCCCACCAATCACATTTACAGCACTGGGGTCTTGGCTGCTGCGGCCTCTTCCAAGCTGGAGCTCTACCATCACCTCCCTCCCCTTGGCCCTGGTCCCACGGCTGGGGGCTGGCTTCCTTTAACACACTTTTTCTTTTTTCAAGCCAGTCTCCTGGCTCTGACAATCTATCACAAACCCAGTCTTTGCTGGCCTCTAGTGAGAGAGCTGGACGCTGCAGCAGGATGAACCTGGCATTTCTATCCGTCCACACTGGCCCCTACACTTGGCAGAAGTACAAGTCTCAGGGCATCTTGGCTTGTCCTCCCTTAGTCTCTGGCAGTGTCCACAGTGGTCTGAGCACCCCTGAAGTTTTAAGGGTTGTGACGGTGGGTGAGACTCACTCAGCACACTGCCCTCTGGAAGGAAGAGGCCTGAGCATGACCAACCCTCAAGTTGGAATCTGGGAAGTCTGTGGAAGCGGTTGTCCTGTCACTGTTTTACAGCTGCAGGAAAATGGTGTCTTTTCATTTGGAAAAATAAGTAGTAAGGATCATCTTAGTTGCTTGCCACGTAAAATCATAGTTACTTTTTTTTTTTTTTTGGGTCCGGTCGTGGGGCCTGAACTCTGGGCCTGGGCGCTGTCCCTCAGCTCAAGGCTAACGCTCTACCACTTGAGCCACAACGCCACTTCTGGCTTTTTGCTTACGTGGTGCTGAGGAATCGAACCCAGGGCCTTAGACATGTAAGGCAAGTGCTCTACCACTGAGCCACCTTCCCAGCCCCAAATCATAGTTACTTAAAGAAATAAATAGCCACAGAATTGCCTTGGGAGAGATCAGGAAGATGACTGACAGCTGTTTAAGTTTGATGGACTTAGTTAAGAATTCATCCTGCAAGGCGCTGGTGGCTCACACCTGTAATCGTAGCTACTCAGGAGGCTAAGATTGGAGGATTGCAGTTCAAAGCCAGCCTGGGTGGACAAGTCCCAACCAACCAGCAAAAAGCTGGAAATGGAGATACAGATAAGTGGTAGAGTGCCAGCCTTGAGTAGAAAAATAGCCAAGCAAGAGCCTGAGGCCCCGAATTCAAACCCCAAGTGTCAGCGCGTGCGCGCACGCGCACACACACACACACACACACACACACACACACACACACACACACACACGGAGTACTGTATTGATTTGAAAGAGTTGCAAGACTTTGTAAAGGTATTATCTTCCTTGTCTTGTACT